TAAACGTTGTTGGCTTAGCATCTTTAACAAAACGCCGTCGTTTATGTTTATCTCCCAATGGACAAGAATAAATGACATGAAACAGGTGTTACATTCCAATGCTTACCTTACTTCTACAACTACACAGTAACAAGTACACTTGTTCATGACTATACTGGCTAAAACAAGACAAGATGTCAATGCTTGAAAATGAAGAAGAACCAAAAAAGAAAGAACAACTTTTTCTTTATCATAAAGAAGTTTCTAAGTTGGTGTCATTGTGCTAGTCTTTGATACTGATTCACTACTATACAGATTCCCTGAAGCTGAAGAAAACATCCAGAAAATCTCTCGGTTTACATTCTTTGCTGCTTGGAACATCATGTGTGTCAGGAGATCGATTGTTAGCGACAACAGATTAGGACTCTCCATCACCGAGCTTAAGCTGTACTCAAGAATCCACGTGTTTGGATCCAGTTGCAAAACCGATGTGCTCCATTTCGTTTTTCCCCAAGAAGTATTGGCCTCGCGCATCGTGTAACCGAACTTCCCTTCTGACCACTTCAATGAGAACATCGAAACATAAGAATCAAATAAACCAAAACAACTACAATGAGCCAAACTATACATTTCCTATGTCAAGCTATAGATTTACACAAACAGATACTAAACAAACAAAGCATCGACATTTGAATCTAATAGTCAAATGGTAAGGCTTTGCGTGTAAGAAAAAATTCAGAATTTGGTTACCTCGGTTACTCGGCCTGATAACACGGTGATCGAACTTGAAGAGAATCCAGTACGGAACAATCCAGCTGTTTGCAAAGGCCATCCCCATATACTAACCTCTTCAATGAAGGATTTATACAGAACACACTTTGAGTTCAACATTGGACCATCCTAGAAAAAACGTAATTTCCAAATTAATCAAACCAAAGTCATAAACTTTGTGAACAAATCGTAAGCTAATGACTTACCTGATTGAAATTCCATTTGGAATTAGAACCTACGCAGCTCGATAACTCTCCATTGTTAACAAAACCCTTTAATTCGTCTTCCAAAAATCTCAGCTTTACACTCAGATCACCATGAGATCTCTCACCAGAAACCCTCACTATCTCCTCTGTAAAGTTAGCACCTTTACGCACCCAACGAAACCCTAATTCCACCAAACCCATTACCAAAATCAATTTCAGAACAAGAAAACAAACCAATGTG